ATAGAGAGGGAGAAGAAAATATGGACACAGAATGTAAAATCTTGGATTAGGAACTGTGGATGTAAAAGAAAGATTTGAGAGATGGAAGACAAGAAAGCATACTGAAAGGATCCCAAGGTATGTACCTATATGTGCTTGCACAAAACACAGCAACTGCCGGCAAGCAGGAATACACACGGAGAAGCCACAGAAAAGAGCAAGATGATGCTAGCTTCTTTCTTTCTCCCAGATGTAGCTACCTTTTCTTCTTCTTCTTCCGTCAGAGCAGTAAAGCATAGGATGTCGGAGCCTAATGGCTCCCAGCTCCCTTCTAGGAAAACAACCCGAGTAACATTAGTGGAAGGTGTGTGTGGGGGGATTTAAAGCCAGAAGAAGACGAAGTCCACCAAAGTTGTTCCGACTGAAAGCCCAAGAGTTACTGTTATTGCTGGATCTACTGCAGATATATTGTGCAGAGCATCTCCTTAATTTAACCCTGTAATGCATGTATTGCAGATGAGGTAAGCTGAAGAGAAAGGCGTGGCTCTTTAATTTGCAAAAAAAAGAAGATAAGGAGGAACACAGAAAATTTGGGCGTCTCACACACACCTTATTTCATCCCCACATTCCAGATCCTAGAAGCGCAGAAGCCCCTAAGGACAAGAATGAGGCAGAGTGAGGCTCCTGTGGAATCAGTGCAATGCTGTGCACAGTCAAGATCACACCGCTGGCTTAACAGATGCTTGCCTGATCATCGACGACAAGCCAAAAAGGTCTCAGGACACGGTCTGAGGATTCATGATGTACACCTCTTCTCCCACTAAAGGGTAAGCAAACTGTGGCCAAAGCCTAGATGGGGGAAAAACTCCGTGGAGAGACTCCCATGTATACTGCAGTGATTTCCATTATGGGGAAAGACGGGACACAAGCCTGTTAAATGCACAGCCTCCAAATGCCTGGGCAAGGAAACATTAGCATGTGGGTTTCAATGAATGTATAGTCACAAATCAGTGCGGTAGGGCAGCTCCACCTTTGTAGGATGCGTGCAAGCAGTCTGGCAGAAGGAGAATGCCCTGCACTTTTCCACAGCATCGCTTCCACCACACAGAAAATGCTACACGGAGTGTCAAGGGCTGCTGCTGAATACCGTGAACCATGGTGTGTGTGTGGGGGGCACCCCTAAAAATCCGACAGAAGTATATTCTGTGAGCAGAAGACAAATGCTGGCTCCAGTCCACCGACAAGTGAAGGCAGGGAGTAAGAGAGCCAAATTAACGGAGAAGCAACTTTCGTATCGCTTTTCTTCGGCTGATCTGGATCATCAGCCCGCCTTGGTCAAGGTTTAAAGAACAGCCAGAAGTTTCGGTTTTCCTGCCCCGCTTTCGAAGAAGGGTTTGTAGGACAACTTGGAAATCCACGTAAGCAGCCATGCATGTGAAACCAGGAATGGACAGCATCCCGAGGCATCTCAGGGGGCCGAGCCTGCCTGCCTATGCGGCGCGTTACAAAACCTTTTGTCTTCTCTTAGTGGACTGCAACGCACTCCCCCCCCCCCGCCCCAACACACACACGCACACCCGTCCGCATACACACACACACACATACACACACACACACACACACTTCCTGGGTTGCTTTTGACCCAGGCCGTAGGCAGGAAGGAAGGGCATCGTGGAAAAGAAAGCCTCCAACCCGAGCGGGAGTTCCCTCCTCTCGGATTAAAACTTGGGGGGGTGGCGGTGGGGGAAGGAAGCGCGGCGCTCTTCTTACCCAGGCGGGCAGCTCTTGCTGGCCCAGGCTTCGGCCCAAATGGGTGGCGCTCACCGTCGCCTCTTCGTCGCCCAGGAGCAACCCCGCCGCCCGCAGCGATCGCTCTTTGCTCAGCCGCCGACTCCGCCAGCCCATGTAAAGAGCCACGCCGGCCACCACGAAGCCCAGGCTCAGCCCGGCCCGGCCCGCCAGATACACGGGGAGCAGCCAAAGCAACCGCCGCCCGATCGCGCCAAGCGCCGCCAGGGCTTCTGCGGAACCGATGCCTCCCGGCAAACGGGAGCCAGATCCGGTGCTGGGGCCAGCGGGGACCTCCGGGCCCGGATCCGGGGCCGCAGTGTCCTGCTCGCGGTCCGGCTCCATAGCTCTCCCAGGAGTCGCCCGGACAAGAGCCGCCAGGAGCCCCCCGGACTGCGGCGAAGCCAGCTACTCCCGAGCGCCTGCAGTCAGGGAACCCGGAGGCGCGGCGGGCTTGAAACAACGTTGCTGCCCCGCCAGCTGATTGGAGGAGGAGGTTCCAAGGGCGGGGCTAGGGTGGGAAAGAAGAGTCACCGCTAGAACCTCTGATTGGATAAGAGCCAGGGAGGGAGGAGCCGGAAGGACATCAAAACCGCGCCTCTCCAGTTCTGACTGGGCAGCCAGCCTTCCAACTTTCCCTGAAACTAAGCAACGGCTCAAGCTTTTCTTTCGTTTCCTTTTCGTTCCGTTCTTTCTGGCCTGGCCGAGAAGCCAAGTGAGGCGGAGGAGCCCCGCTGGCTAATAACGGACCACAGCTAGGGCCACAACTTTATTAACTACATACATACATACATACATACATACATACATACATACATACATACATACATACATACCTTTATTGGTACAGAATGCTTAGATCAATAGAAAAGCTGTGGAGAGTAATAAAACCATGACCAAATTAAGTTGGGAAAAGTGGTGCAACTATGGACTATGCCTGGGAGAGAGCCTCTCTGATTTTTTTTTAAATAACAGGCCTCCTTCATTCTTTGACGGGTCAACGGGTTCTTGAAGGGGGCGGGGGCATTGCCCCTTGCCTTCTTCGCCCCCCAGCAATAATTAGAAGGGAGGGTCAGTGATGCTTTCCCCCTTTAAAATATTTAAAGTCAATCTTTAAGGCACCGAAATATTCTTCCCCGCCCAACCCCTTATATTTCCCAACGTGTGGAGACAGACCATCAGTCCTAGCGTGTGGTGCTGATTTATTTAGAGCAGCCCAGAGTTGTCGCTCAGCCACTTAGATGGACGGGGGTAAAAATTCAACAAGATCGATAGAGCCAACAATCCATCGGTCTCTGGAGATTCATCACATACTGGGCTTCTCCGTGGCCATTCCTCTTCCGGAGCACAGCAATGGCCCATGGATTTTTTCCAAGTACTGTACATACTCTTCGTACGAACAGTATGGAAAATATAGCACGGAGACACGAGAATTCTCAAGTCCTTCTTCATGGCCCTCGTGCCACAAGTGGTGTGAAGTGGTCAATCCTGCCTGAGCAGCAGCTGCTGATCAAAACTCACCCCTGTCAGTACCGAATGCCCAGATGGACACTGCAGACATGTGAGCAGCGCTCCTGATCCATATCCACCCAGTCTGAGTATGTTTTGCAGAAGCATTATTTACTGGTCACATTTCTGTTTTCCTTTTTCCTCCTGAGAGCTCCTGCTGGAATGCCTGGCTCTCGACCTCCTCCCTCTGTCCTCAAAACAACACTGTCGTGGAGGTCGGTCAGGCAGGCTGAGAGAAGGTGATATTTACTGGTCACATTTCTGTTTTGCTTTTTCCTCCTGAGAGCTGCTGCTGGAATGCCTGGCCCTCAACCTCCTCATAGCAACACTGTCGTGGTCGGTCAGGCAGGCTGAGAGAAGGTGAGCACATCTACTCACTACACACAGTAATAGCAGATTGACACCTCTTTCACAGTCATGGCTTCAGCCTAAGGAATTCTGAGATGTGTAGTTCAGGGAAGTAGCAGAACATGCTGAGCAATTAGCCAAACTACCTACTGTATTGGTTATTGTGGGTTTTTCGGGCTCTTTGGCCGTGTTCTGAAGGTTGTTCTTCCTAATGTTTCGCCAGTCTCTGTGGCATCTTCAGAGTGCTGTCAGGAAGAACAACCTTCAGAACACAGCCAAAGAGCCCGAAAAACCCACAACAACCATTAGATCCCGGCCGTGGATGCCTTCGCAAATACCTACTGTATTGTAGGATTAGGTCAAGTGGAGCCATGACAGTGGAATCAAACTGATACTCCAAACTGTGTCGTATGTATAGATACACCCTGTTGCGTATCTCAGTGTTTCCTATTGAGTTCCATGGCTCAGCGGGCACTTAAATCCAGTTTTCCCAAGTCCCAGACTGAGAGAGAGTGTGAGAGAGATGCACATAGCACAGCTAATGTATTAAAATACAGTGGGGTCTTGACTTGAGAACTTAATCCGTATTGGAAGGCGGTTCTCAAGTCAAAAAGTTCTCAAGTCAAATCTGCATTTCCCATAGGAATACATTGAAAACCATTTGATCCGTATCTGCTCT